CTCAACCGCAAGGATCCGATCGCAGTGTGCACCGCTGGACCTCAACCAGATAGTTTGCCAGATAAAATGCCAGGTAGATTGCCAGATAGAATGCTGCAAGAAGATATGCCAGATAGTATGCCAAATAGTGTGTCAGATAGATTGCTAGATACAGTGCCAGATAGAATGCCAGAAAATATGCCAGATAGAATGCCAGATAGAATGCCAGATAAAATGCCAGATAGAATGCCAGAAGATATGCCAGATAGAATGACAGATAGTATGCCAAACAAAATGCCAGATAGTATGCCAGACAGTATGCCAGATAATTTGCCAGATAAAGTGCCAGATAGAATGCCAGGTAGATTGCCAGATAGAATGCTGCAAGAAGATATGCCAGATAGTATGCCAAATAGTGTGTCAGATAGATTGCTAGATACATTGCCAGATAGAATGCTAGAAAATATGCCAGATAGAATGACAGATAGTGTGCCAGACAAAACGCCAGATAGTATGCCAGACAGTATGCCAGATAGTATGTCAGATAGATTGCCAGATAGAATGGCAGATTGAATGTCATGGTGGGGATCACTCGAAGTAAAGTAATTGGATGTTTTTGGATGTTTTTCACTCCAGGAAACCTGAGTGAGTTAGCCCAAAAGTTGGGAGTCTTCCACAGTTTCTTTGTGAAAGATGCCCGACTAGGCAAACACTTGATGGAAAAACTCCCGACCAAAAGCTTCGTAGCGGATGTCCTGGGCCAAATCTTTTGCAAAGAGGAGCAAAAGGATCAACTACTTCTTTAGAAGGATTTGGAACCGAAAGACTTGAACACCTTGGGTCTTCCTGTGAATACACCCTGTGCAAAAGCTCCACGTTTCATGCCTCCACTTCTTCCGCCAGGCCTTGTGAGTAGTCTTAGCTGCAGAGTGTCTCCGCTCTGCTTAGTCAGCCGTGAGGGAGGCTGCTGCAGGGTTTAGCCAGGAGTTTTCTGGACCAAATTAAATTTTGAGAACACTTCATTCCGAGGCTTTACGTGAGTAGCTGAGAGAGGTTCGGCTTGGTTTGCAGATGGTTTTCAGCGTCTCTTGTTCATAAACCAATAGTACAGGGACTTCGGCAAAAATCATCCTCCTGTCAGCACCATGGTTTAATCCAAACTCTTGGTGTGTACTGGTCAAATGACACTCGAAGACTAACCTGGAAAATCTCCTTGGTTGACTGTTATCATGGGAGCATGACCCTGTTTCAATCAAAGCGCATGCGCATTGAATCTTGGAATGAGCGAAACTCAGGTAATTACATTCTGTCATGTACTCATTTTCCTTTTGAAGATGCCGCATGTCTTTGTTTCTCAAGGTAATTTCGTGAGGATGCGTCGATTGCTTCACTTCATGATGCCGTGTCCTTTCTGACGTTGTCCAACACGTTGGCCCCTTCGGACGGTGAGTCCATGAATCCCTAAGCCGCCCTAGACACGGAAAAACCACATCCGTTGGGAACCAATGTCCCGAGGAAAAAACACATATACGAACTAGACGACGAGTGGCCCGAAAGCATTTTTCATCACGTAGGAAGTCAGAGTGCGAGTCATCTGTCAAGTGTGCGGTGTGAAGTGTTACGTAGGTTTCCTGCTAGTAGCTAGTAGCTTAGTGGCTTCAGCTAGATGTCCACACTTCATGCTTTGGTTGAACCTGGAACAAGACGTCATGAACATGTGAAACATGTGACGTGAACGGGTCATGGAGATTCTCGGTTGCGGAGAGCATGCCCAAATTGGAGAGATAAAAGGTGCCCATCATGATGTTCGATGATCTAGGTAATCGACATAGGTGTGTAGTTGTCTTATTCATGGAAACCCTCCACCAATGGGTCGTGGCCTATTGTCCTTCCAGGGGGTTCAAACGGGGGTCTCCTGCAGACTCCATGACACGTATTCGCACCGAGTGGAGTTGATTCGGCGAAACGAAACGAAACGAAACGAAACGCGAAACGAAACGCGAAACGAAATACGAAACTAAACGAAACGTAGGTTCCCTGGTAGTAGCTTCTTGTTACTAGTAGTAAGGCCAGGAGCCCCTAGTAGCGTCCTTGTTACTAGTAGCTTCTTGTTGTCAGTAGTACGGCCAGGAGCCCCTAGTAGCACACGATCAATGTATTGAATGTTTACAATTCTACGCTCCACTTGTGAACGTGGCCTGTAAGTCCAGTGGCAAGGACGCGCGCGCTTCGGCTTTTTGCCACATGGGAGCTTTGACTTTGATTTAGCATCAGGCAGTTGGGCCGCAGTCGAGAACGTTGGTCTGCGGATTCGATCAGCGGCCTTACTACTCTTCGCAATCTCACTGAAAAAGACGAGCCGGAATGAAGACAGAAAAGTGCTGAGGCAGCCACGCAAGAAGTGTCTCGAAGCAGTGACCTGTCAGAGGAGATGAACGAAGTAGCGCGCAGGCCTCCCAAACCCCCACCGGCGGCCAAGCGGTGACAGCCCAGCTCATCGTCATGACGCGTATTCGCACCGAGTGGAGTTGATTCGGCGATCTCGATGTCCTACGCGATGAAAAATGCTTTCGGGCCCTTAGTTTCATCACGTAGGAAGTCTGAGTGCGAGTTATCTGTTAGGTGTGCAGTGTGAAGTGTTAAGTCGAGTGAGTTGAGGTAGTGTGTGGGTCTCTGTGTGTGTATCTATGTCCGTGTGTATATAAGTCTCTGTCTATGTGTGTGTCCGAGTAAGTTGCGGCAGCGCGTGGGTCTGTGTGTGATGTGTGTGTGTGAGTCCCTGTCTGTGTGTGTATGTCCATGTCTGCTGCTGGTGAAGGTCTTCTCTGCACATATACTGAACGACTTGGCGCGCAGGCCTCCCAAACCCCCCACCGGCGGCCAAGCGGTGACAGCCCAGCTCAGCGTCGCGTACCAAAGTTGTACTACCAAGTCGCCAGTCCTCATCTTCCAGCTATCCAGCTACTCCGCGTACTACAGTTGTACGACAAAGTCGCCAGTGTTCATCTTCCAGCTCCACAGATACTCCGCGTATTCAACTTGTACTCTTGTACTACCCACTCACCAGTTCTCATCTTCCCACTCCCCAGCTACTCTGCGTACTAAAGTTGTACTACCAAGTCGCCAGTTCTCATCTTCCAGCTCCCCAGCTACTCCGCGTACTAAAGTTGTACTACAAAGT